CGACCGTAGACTGGCTTGTCGAGGAGCTTGAGAAGCTCGACTACTACGACGTCTACAAGCAGCCTTTCACCGAGGCTTTCGCCGGTGCCAAGGCGACCCTCTCCGTCGCAGGCGATGCCATTGACGCCCGTCCTCTGACGTACACACCTGGCGGAACCCTAACCGGCGCTACCTTGGTCAACGTTGCCAACCTTGGATGCGAGGCGTCGGACTACCCTGCCGAAGTCTCTGGTGCTGTTGCGCTCGTGTCGAGAGGCACTTGCAACTTTGCGGTCAAGGCCACTCTTGCCAAGTCTGCAGGCGCTGTCGGTGCCATCATCTACAACAACGACGTTGGCGCGCTTTCAGGAACCCTCGGCGCGGCTTCGGATGGTTACGCCCCGACTGTGGGAATTACTCGTGAGGAGGGACAGGCCCTTGTTGCCTCTCTTGCAGCTGGTCAAGCGCTGACTCTTGATCTCAATGTTATCTCCATCATCGAGAACCGTGTCAACTATAACGTCATTGCGGAGACGAGGGGCGGAGACCATGACAATGTTCTCATGATCGGAGGCCACTCCGATTCTGTTTTTGCTGGCCCTGGTATTAAGTAAGTTAACATCACTATGAGATACGTTCGGAGAGACGAACTGACTAATATTCTCTTCCAGCGACGATGGCTCCGGCACCGTTGGTGTGCTCACTGTCGCCAAGGCCCTTACCCAATTCACCACCAAGAACGCCGTTCGACTTGGATTTTGGGGCGCGGAGGAATACGGCAAGCTCGGCTCCTACTTCTATGTGAAGTCGCTCAACAGCTCTGAGGAGGAAATCTCAAAGATCCGAGCATACCTCAATTTCGACATGATCGCCAGCCCTAACCCTAAGCTCGCCATCTACGATGGTGACGGCAGTGCCTTCAACTTCACTGGCCCCGCCGGCTCTGATGTGATTGAGAAGGACTTTGAGGAGTTCTTTGAGTCCAAGGGCCTGGGCCACGTACCCACTGAATTCAACGGCCGCTCTGACTACGCAGGGTTCATCGAGAACGGCATCCCATCTGGTGGACTATTCACTGGCGCAGAGGGCCTCAAGACGGAGGCCGAGGCCGCGCTGTTCGGTGGCGAGGTTGGTGTTGCCTACGACGTTAACTACCACTTGACCGGCGACGATATCACCAACCTGGACAACGACGCTTACCTTGTCAACACCAAGGCCATCGCCCACAGTGTCGCCAAATATTCCATGAGCTGGGAAACTCTTCCTGCTGTGGAGTTGAAGAAGCGCAGATGGGCTGCAGACACGGCCCAGCACCTCAAGCGTGCTGCTGAGTTGACCGGTCACTCCCACGACGGGCCCTGCGGTGGCGGCTCCCACTTCTAAGGGAGAAGCACCCGAGTGACTGACTCCTACGAGCGGGTAAGACCCAAATCATGGATACCTAGCCTACCCTCGGCTTAAAAATAGACGAGAAATGAATGGATGACAGACTTCATGTTATTTGCGCTCTCTTTGCGTGACAGTATGCAGTGTGATACTGCCACAGGCTTGTCAGGATCCCGGTAAACCGAATCCTCCGCCTGTCAGCATCGCACGACACTTTATAAGCTCTATTCTTCAATTAGGCAGTTCTTTCGACCAATCAGATTGCCCAGACTTCCCGTCTTTTCTAGAGTAAGTGATAAATGGTACTTTTGTGGTACTTTTGCAAAACCAACTGTTGTCATCGCTTTATACATGTTCGGAAGAAGTCAAAATTCCGCAGATACAGACAATCGTGGTAAGGCTTAATGAGTCCTGATTATGATGTCGGAGGGTGCCTCCGTACCCGAGACAAGACAAGCGAGTCTAGCCTTTTGCATATCTCGGCTATCGCAAAAAGGCCATGTGGACACCATTTTCCAGCTGTTGGAACTTATCATGCAGCTGTCGAGCAGCCCACTCGAGAATCTTAACGCATGGCGTCGTTTCTGTATGCCCCATCTTCTCAGGCAACAACTGACTGCCTCCTAAACGAGATAGCCTCACTCAATCAGCCCAAGACATGACTGCATCATCGTGATCTTACTAATGGAGGCGGAGCAGTGTGGCACAGATTTGGCCGAGGTCTAGGCAAGGAGCGATTGAGAAAATATGATCGCACCGGATAAGCAGACTCGTCACATTCCTACACCAATCATAACCTTGAATTGGCAGCACCCTTCAGAGTCGATGCCTATGGCTGGGTCTACGGCCGGACGTCAGCTGCCCCCCTTGTTTCCTGTTGGGGGCCGCTTCTCCCCAAGAAACCCTAGAAACACCGTTGGTTGACCCCTGGAACGGGCGCGAACCCTGGCTTTCCAGTCCCCAAAGAAGTTTAAGGACCTCTCCGCTGACAAGGAACTGGAACACCGGGCAGGCTCGCATTCCGTCTTCTTCGCCGGGCATCTCCGGCCGACGATGGCGAGGCCAAATCCTTCAGCATTGGCAGCACTGCAGCAGGCTATAGGGCGACCTATGAGGGTCGGGCTTGGCACCTAGTGGAAGACCGGTCACTGCGGACTTGTGCAGGGTGCGGCGACCGCAACCACTTCCGCGATCTCACCGGTCAATGTCGTGGGGGCCGAGTCTGAATCTTGTTTCCACTTTAGTTTAGGCAACTCTTGAGTCCTTGATGAGAAACCGGATCATGACCTGTTGCTGCATGTCTCAACTTGATGGCTCATGGCAACTTGCATAGGGCTGCAGCGGCTGTGTCGTATTGCTGCCCAGGTTATGAAATTCGACGGTAAGTATCTTGGTACTGCGTGCTTCGTGACTGTGCCTCCTACGCCTCAACCCTCTAGTCTCTTCGTTTATGTACCTCACAATCGAGAACTCTGAGAGAAGCTCAGTCATGTAGCAATATATAAGGGGCTCTCTTCTCTTTGTTTCGTTGTGTTCCGTCTTCATTAGCATCCAATAACCACTAAGTATCTCGGTCTATCACTCCCTTGAGCTCCTGTATCACAACAGGATCCAGCTTGAAAACTTTCACTGTCTTTTGGTATCAACATTCACACCTAAAACGGCGAGCTTTCTGGCTTTGCTCAAGGTTCTTACCCCATATCCTTTTTCCAAAATGAAACAAGAAACGATTTTGCCGACTCATGGGCTTATGCCCAATAGCCCTCCTGCTCGGCGCCCAGTTGGACGTGTCCTCTTGGTAGCCCTCTTGACCAGCATCTTGGTCCTATCCTTTCTCAAGGGCGAGACTATCTTGTCAGCAGTAAGTCCATCTTCAGAATTCTATTAGCTTCTATCATCCTTGAAGCTTAGCACTTGCACTATGCTAACTCTATGGTTCCATCAGATCACCGAAAACACTGAGGGCTGCGCCCGCAAAGCTCATGGAGCAAGAAGTATCGCGGCGCTTCGCGTTCGAGATGTTAGTCCCCTAAAAGGAGACACTGCTGTCTCTACAGATGGTCGCTCTGGATACAACCGTCGTGATGACACTGCTATTACCACCGACGGTCGTTCTGGCTACAACCGCCGTGACGAAGAGTCGACTGTCGGCACTGACGGACGTTCCGGATATAACCGCCGCGATGAAGATCAAGTCATGAATACAGACGGCCGGTCTGGCTACAATAAGCGCGAAGAAAATGCGGCTATTACGACAGATGGTAGATCTGGATATAATCGGCGCAACGCCAAGGAGACGTCTGATATGACCACGGATGGTCGTTCTGGGTACAACCGCCGTGAACAAGATGCCGCTATTACTACAGACGGACGATCTGGATACAACAGGCGCGAAGAGGCTCTTGACTCTACAACCGATGGCCGATCCGGGTACAACCGTCGCGAACAGGCTACTGATGCCACTACTGATGGAAGGTCAGGATATAATAAGCGGGAGGAAGCCTCTGCTATCACAACTGATGGCCGCTCGGGGTATAACCGTCGCGAAGAAGCCTCAGACGCCACTACTGATGGACGTTCCGGGTACAACAAGCGCGAAGACGCCTCTGCTATCGGCACTGATGGGCGCTCAGGGTACAATCGCCGAGAGAATGACGCTTCAGCCACGACTGACGGACGATCTGGCTACAACAAGCGCGAAGAGGCCCTTGACGCTACAACAGATGGTCGATCTGGTTACAACCGTCGTGAGGAGACAGATGGCCGCTCAGGATACAACAGTGTGGAAGACGGGCGCTCCGGATATAACAAGCGTGAGGAAAGCTCTGCTATCGGTACCGATGGACGCTCAGGTTACAACAGGCGTGACGAAGCCTCTGACATCACTACCGATGGACGCTCTGGGTACAACCGCGCAGTCTAAGTCGGAAGGAATACGATACCCTGTAAATGCATTGCGCCTTAGATCCAGATTTTAGATACATCGAGCTCAAGCTCCGCCGTCAAATATTAATTCTAGCATTTACTTAGACTTAGACTGACGAAAAATTTCATTCTCAGTTTCATTGCACGACTTCTTTTGATGGACCCTTATATTTCGTCAGATCGCTCTTTTTTAGAACAGTAGGATTGCCTACTCACGCACATCCATGTCACAAACGCGTCAGAAAAGGTGAGCCCCAATGCAGGTAGGAAGATCCTAAGGTAGGCCACCCGGACATTCAGTGTAACACGACCGGAGTCCCCCATATGTAGTACCTTATCTTGCATAAACGATGGCCTTGCTACTTTCAGGATCAGTCATGCTGAAAAGTCTGGCTATGCGAAGAGTATTATGGAGATCCTTCGGTCTTGCGCGGCCTTCCTGGAGTCTCTGGGTGGTAGCCGATGCCAAACATGGTATAACATGGTGTCTCTTAAACCTACTCATGGAGCTAGACTCGGCTAAGAGCCGCGCTCGCAAAGTCACTTAAGGAGTATGATTGGAGCATACTTGGTCAGAAGCCACATCATACCGCCCGCGGTGGATCTGCTCTTACTCAGAGAGTTCCATGTGGATATTACCGTTTTCATTCCGAACAAGCTGGTGTGTAACCAATCTGCCATGAGCAAAGTCTGCAGTCCTCCCACGCTCATCAACCAAAGCGGCCCTTCTGCCACCAACCCCCCTGAGCTTCATCGCCGGCCTTAACCTCTGTGACCGTACTCTTGGCTTTCCTCAGCGGGTCGACCTGGTTCACAATGAACTCATCCATGTATCGTCCACCCGCTCCTCCTCCCTGATTGATGTTCTCTTGCCGAAGACTTGCTTCGCTGCCGACCCGCGACCTCCGATCCGGCTCCATCTCCATGTCGTCCTCGAGTTCCACGCTCTCCAACCTCCGAACTTCCCTCGTGACTTCAACCTCCTTGGTAACAAAGATACCGGGGAATCGTTGCCGCAGTACTGGCCAGAAAATCGGGACGCTACTGGCAACCATGGCCAGATCGACTTCGACGGCGGATAGGACGATGCTGAGGGGGCCGTACCACATGGGGTCTAATGTCGGACGAGTGGCGGATCGGTGTTGAATGATAGAGTATACTCGGACGACTGAGACGCCGTTGACTCTACAAATTGTGTCAGCGCTCTGGGGATCCCTGAGAGTGATGGTCCGCTGTTGGGGAAAACGAGGGACAAAACGCACGCAATGCCAATGACCAGCAGCGCAAGCAGTCTCAGCTTCGACTTAAGCGACTGTTGGGGTCTGAAGTAGAGCGGAACCGGGATGGCGAGAACAAGGACGTCTAAGGCAAAGTTGACCGAAGAGTGACTCTCATATGTTCCCGAGAATATATCAGAGTTGAGCGAGCCGTATGCCCAACGTGTGGCTGGAATGGTCCAGTTCCAATATGCTGCGACTGGCACGCAGGGAACCCATCCCAGAAACGAGTAGGCGGTGGCCCATAAGCTGACAAAGATGATCAGGTAGATGCAGAGCGATCGAAGGAAGGACGGTCGGTCGAAGATGCGCAAGTATTGAAAGAGGAGAGAGATTTTGATAAAGGCGGTTGACATTTGGTAAGATGCGTTTGCAACGTAGAAGGTCTAAGGCAAGGGGTTCTTGATTAGCAAGTCAACATCATGAGCGACTATCGGCGGGTTGACTTCGTACTCGGAGGTAATTCTGGACTTCTGCCGCAGAGAGGGTATAGATATGTCTTCCCATCCCATATTTGGTAGCTATTGACCAAAGGATTAGTTTCACAAAAGCGAGAAAGGGAAATTTGGTGGGGTCCTACCGACACAAATTCCAACAGATCCAGTTGTTGTTGTTAACTGTGTTGAAATCCTCACGTGAGACATTGTTCGTCATCGAGAGAGTATATAGAGGGTTACACACCAACGACAATATCACGAAGCAATCATCCCATCCTAATGACTGAACCAACTTGGCTCGCACGTACATGCGGAAGGCGACACACATCCATGAGAAGATCTAAGCAACGTCGTTAGTCACATTGCTGATATGTCTTCGAACAACTTGGAGCTTACCGCGAAGGCAATAACCACGCCTAGGATAGTTGGAGTCTTGTTCACCAAGGGCGTAGGCTCGCCCGAGTTATCGGCCGTTCCATACAACGCATGGATTGTTGCTCCGTCCATGGTGATCACCACGGACCAAGACCAGACATTAGCTTAGGCTGAGGTTGACGTAAAGAGGGGGCTAGACCACCACCAAGCCAAAAGCAAGTCAAGACGTTGAAACGAAAACGAATGAGATGTCAGAATTGAAGCAAGCTCCATTCATGTCTCTCGAGGTTGTGGGAAGAAGAGAAAAAAGAAAGATAAACGCCGGGTCCCAAAGACGAGATCGACTCTAGAACGATCTGACCTGTTCCACGGCCGTGGTAATATATTCTGCTCACAGGAATTAGAAAACTGGCCTGGGCCATCGTTTCTTCGTCGTGCCCACTTTGACATATGCCGAATGCACAGATAAGACCGGGGAAGGCAAGGCGTAGACTTGGAAAAGGGTCCTGTCTCTCATGTTCCCTTCTACTCCACAGTCGAAACCATGCCCCCTTTTCCCACTACGCCAGGAAGATTGCAACAACAAAGGCTTGCACAACTGTTTTTGGCGGGCGAAGAAAGCTGGACAAGCATCATGTTCGCTGTATGGCTCTCAAGCCCCGGCGGCCCACGATGCCGTGCTGATCTCTCTGTCTGGTCCTGCTTGAAGGCGTCCGTGCGAATACAACCCCAACCCTCCCCCTGGTTGGACTAGTTCCCACCAGGAGCGACGTTCGCAAACCGCCTCTACGAGTAGTCCTCCCATGTCCCCGGTCGTCGTCCGAATGAGTCTTCAAGGGCCAGAGAAACAGTTGGCCCCGGCAGGCAGGTGGAGGCTGTAAGTCCCAGATCATTCCAAAATCCAGTCTTCACAATCTGCAGGAGCTTGGACAGCCACGTTGTCACCATTCCACACCTTTTCTTTTGCACCAAAGTTGCAGACTAGTTCCCCTTCTGGAGTACGATCAACCCTGTGCAAGCATTGCATTCAGGTCCAGAAACCTGGTCTCACATGCAACTAAGACATGCAGAGCGCGTCTGCAAGGCGCCTAACCCCGAAACAGCGAAACATGGCAAGACATCCCACGAGGCACGTCCTTCTCCCCAATGCGCCACGGATTTGCCGCCGGGGAAAGAGAAGAATACTGGAGCAAAGCCTGTGATCAGTGACACGCACATCTACAACGCTGAAGCCTGGAAAGGAGAGTGGGAGGAAAAGGAAAAAGGAGGAGTTTGCAACCCACGATCTCAAGATTCCGCATTGCTGAAGTGAGAGGCGTTAACACCCCGGTTCCTTGCTCTGCAACGAGAGCTCGAGTCAGTGTAGCGCACATCATTGGGGGCGACCCGTGTGTTTCAGCGAGTTTTTGCGCCGTAAGCTTTTTTCTTTTCTTAAAGATTGACTGGCGATTAACAGAAGGAATTAAGAACTAAAGAAGCGCTTCGTGTGACGACTGTGACAAAATCCCTTACTAAGGTATGTGACGAAGCCAAGATGCCACCGGATCGTCCAAACTCGTCAATGAGGCAATAATGGTGTCCTGTCAAGCCAAGAAACTCCGAGTCGCATTATCCAATGCATCCCAATCCTCCCATCACTCGCCATTCACCATGAGGTTGCGTTCGCATCGGCTACTATCTTGTCTGCTCGATCGCAGCGAGTCAAGTCACCCGACACGGTTATAATTCTCGGTCTAAATGTCTTCAATAGTGGCAGAGATATTCTGCCTCACTATATTCATAAGCCACCATCACTGGCTTTAAATGGCCTATAATTGCGCCGTCTTAAGACCGAAAGCAAGATCTCAGCCGGCTATCGCGGACGCATTCCAGGTCATCCGGTTTGAGAAGGGAAGCCGCATCGCCGCACTATGCCGTGGTGTAGCGATTCAGATCATGACAAGTGACGTTCTCAGGTGATTGGCAGTTTCTAGTGAGGTGATATTGGGACACAGACCTCGATCCAAATCACCCACGTGGGCCCTGATGTTGGTTTCGAGTTGTAATGGGGGCGACTTGAGGGAGGGGAAGATTTGCCGAATGATACGGAAGAGGTAGATTCAAGTTCCTGAAACTTTGAAGCTATGGTGAGCCTACAGTGCTTCAACATGAGTGGTTGAGTTCCAATCCCCGATTTTCGAAGTGAAGCTATCGCTGTCACCAGCTAGACTTACATATATGTCAATGAAAAGTAGGTGATTTCGCAACGTCTGAGAGCCAATTGTTGACAGCAGGCAGCATTATTCGATGGACTAGCAATGCCAGTGGCTACTCATGTTGAAACGGATGAATTGGATGGGGCTGAAGCGTGAGCTATCCTGATTACCGCCGCAATCTCAAGACTTGGCGTGTTGGTCCCCGCCGTAAATCAGACCAATATCGAGGTCCCCGGTGTGCTCGGACATCATTCAAATCAGACAATCAGACTCCCCATTGAAGCCCCTCAAAAAGATGCATTACCCAAATCGCAGCGTGTCGTACCTGACATAATGAGCCTACCTATCTGGTGGTGTCGGCCACTTTACGAATCATCGCAGTATTGAGCCCATGTTATGTGCAAACTGGGCTTAAATTGGAGCAGTAATTCTCCGAGCGTCTGACTCAGGTAACAGTGGATAAAACTCTCCCTGACAGCTGTCAACGCAGGTTTGTCGCAAATTGCAATCAAAAATTCTAGATGCTTACGCCATGTAGAGCACCGGGCCGGCGGGAAAAGAATCAAATCGTGTCTCTGATGACGAGATCGTGCCCGTGCCAAACGTTCATAAACAACGAGACGGCTAGTTTGAGAGAACAAAACGACGAAACAAATTTGCCGAGCCCACCAAGTGGGAAACCCTGGAGATAAAAAGAGCATCAGCGCTTCTGAAGGCTATCTAGTTTAAGTTTAAAAGCACGTGATTAGACGCGAACTGTGCTATGCAAAGGAAGCTACGAGACAAAAGAGTCTAGCTTCTTTCAAAGAAGCTTTGGCGAGAAAGAGGTCAACGGTAGGCAACTCTGTTGGATGTTCCAGTCTTGTGCAACCCGAGCCGAATCATTGCGGAAAGTGGGCGACATGGTCGATCATGGAACATGACAAGAACATCTTGCTACCTTTCAAGAGTTGGGATTTCCCCTGGATACAAATTACAAACTCCCACGGAATGGAGGATGGGGACGTCTAATCATTCCAAGCCTCCAAGGTACGGAGTATGGGTGCTGTATCAGTGGAGTTGGCGAAAACTTGAGTATGCGCCCCTGCGTTGGCCAACTCCACTGCGTGGTGGGGATTGCCCGGCTGAAGATCGTTGATGCGAGACATGAAAGGCGGAAAGTATGGCTCGACCGCTCGAGAGATCCTGACTTTCGACGAAACAACATGTCAGTCTTGGACATCGAGCTAGTGTAGCTCTCTATTCGCAGAGTCTAGACGTACATCGTGGTCCCGGACATCCCACCTCGAAACGTGAAATCGGGGCACCGGCTCCCACTGAGAAACTCCCGCTGAACTACGCGCCCGCTGCGGAAGCAAGAAATCGGAACCTTGCGCCGGTTTATCGGGAGTTGGACCCCTGCGGATAGTGTCCGAAGCGCCGTGTACAGGATGAGGCAAAGCCAGACTTCCACTGAACGAAAGATACTCAGAGCCTCCATTCCGAAGCCGTCTTCCGGATTGGACAGGTCCTCCGATTTCCTTTCCTCAGTACCGTGCCGTGTAGCTTTTCCTCTCGAACTCAGTCAGGAGCTTTGGCCGCGAGGGCTCTGAATATTCTGCTCACCTCGTGGACCAGTAATCCTCCCTTTTTGACATTTCCCCGTGAACCGTCAGTTCATCTGTCATTGTGATTGGGAACTCCAGGTCCAAGCTCCGTCTTCATATCGGAATACCGACGTGATCGTGACCCTTGAGAGATTGAAGATCATGGACCATAGTCAACCCATCAAAACTATGGTCCATACCTCCCTATCAACCATCAAGACATACCTGCATAGGCTGCATTATTTGCTGTATCTTGACTCGGAGCTTCGGAAGTCACTACCCGTTTGCGTACCATCATCTTCGTACGCTCCAGATCCGTACAGGCACATTTGTCCACAATCATTGAATTGGCCAGTCAGGACAATTGGAATACCCAGCGTAAGTCGGAAACCGGGAGGCAAGCCCACGAGTAAGTCATCACTCTCTTTCGCTCCCCAGTCCACGATCCAGAAAAAAAAGGGAGGCCCGAGCGAAGAGACCAGGTAGGGTATCATTCTCCCATGCAGCCTCTTGAATAAAATGTCCTAACAATGCCCCCATCCTGCATCCTACAGTGACATCCGCAGCATCGCACCGGCGCAGCTTCCGTCCAGATACCGTGAGGTGATCGTCATGTCAACCGCCCCCGCCGCAGTGTGGCCGTACCAGAGACTGGGAGTCTCCAAACCCGTGGTCGACGAATCGACGGTTCAACGGTCCCGAATCGATTCCCACTCCCGTCGCACGAAAGAATGCAATCTTGTGTCCACAACCCGTTGAAGAAAAATAAGTGTTCCATCCTTCTCCACTGAAAGGATCATCAGAGTCGCAGAATGCAAGACACTGGAAATCCGCCTAAACTGCAACTACGAGCCTTTTTAAACATTCCCCACGAGACGAGGGCGAAGACACGCGAGTTAAAAGTTGCTGACTGGCTCCCTCCCACATAGTGACACTACTGCGCTACCCCCCAAATGCGTGTCACCGTGTCACGCCCCCCATCTCGCCAGCGACCCTGACAGAAATTTCGACGATCGGCGTTGAAGAAAGAAGCCAAGACCCGGGAGTTGTGATGGGGAGGATCCATATCGGATGGCACCCGACTCCGTTCTGTCTCGCACCTCTGCCAGACTGCCACCGCTTCTGATCCAGAAACCCCCCTTCTTCGTCGAATCGTCGCTTCTCTCTGCTGCTGTGTATGAATGCCCCCCTGCCCAGTATCTGCCCCCCCCCCCCCCAGCTGACGTCTTCACACCAAGCATCGGGAGTTCTCTCCGTTCGTAGCAAAGGGGCCGAAAGAGGCAACAGGGTCGTGGAGGGGGGGGGGGTGTCAAGACACAATTCGCAAGCTACGCACCTTTTGGGACGATTG